GTATCACTATGCATCTTATATATGATTAGGTATCACAATGTATCTTTTGTTTAACTATATATATATATATATATATATATATATATATATAAATGTCTAATCAAATGAGAACTAATTAGTTTGTAGTAACCGTGAGACCCAATATCAATCACAAATCAATAGATAAATTAATAAATTTATAATTTTGGTAATTTTGAATTAAAATTTTAATACAAGGACATTTTTGGTATTTTAAAACTCTTCACTCTCCTCTCTTTTCTCTCTAGCCACCGTCCTCCGGTGATACCACAATGATATCACAATGCATCATATATGTTCTTGGGTATCAAGTTGAGGTCGTTTGTGTGGTCGATCAGAGATGTAACACAATGATATCACAATGCATCTTATATATGCTTGGGTATCACACTGTATCTTTTGTATAACAGAGTCAATATTTTTTGATATCACCAGAGGACGGAGAGAGAAGAAAAGAGAGAGGAGAGAAAATACCTAAAATATCCTTGCATTAAAATTTTAATTCAAAATTATCAAAATTATAAATTTCCTAATTTATCTATTGATTTGTGGTTGAGATTGGATCTCACGGTTACCACAAACTACTCAGTTCTTTATTGAATGGATCCCTATATATATATATATATATATATATATATATATATATAAATAAATATAATTCATAAGAATAATTTTCATCATTTGTTTTGTTTTCATTTCAACCATGGAATTTCATAACTACAATTTGCATTCTTTGATTGGTGTTTTCTTTAATATATTATTATATTGATATTGATATTGATTGTTAAGTGATTTCAAATTCATTCTTTCGTCCTTTCACGACTATTCAAATTCTCATGGTAATCTAAAATAGTCAACTATGTTAGTTAGTCAACACTAATTGTTTTTATACAAATAGATTTTCTTGTAAAAATAAAGTAGGCCAAAAAGCCAAACAAAAAATAGCATAAACCAATTCTTTCTTTAAACCCAATCCTATAATATATACACACGAAAGATTGTGTAAGAATAACAGTTATGGTGAGAATACTTACGGTCCTTCGGATGAGTCGATTTTTTAATTCAACTTTAAATCTTTTTCAACTACATTCATCTACCTTTATCTTCATATTTATATTCATTTTTAAGTTACTTTCACATACATTTAATCACTTCCACATGCAGGATTTTGTTGAAGTTTCAATTCTTGTGATAAAAATACGTAAATAAAATAGTTGAAGATATTTGAAGGTTTTGTTATCACTTTCTCACCATAACTCTTATTTTCACCGGAACCTATATATACATATTATACACACACACACACACATATACATATATATATATATATATAGGTTGGATTCCAGGGAGAAGAAGAGTTAAAATGAGAAGCGTAAGAAGGGATCTACATCCTTAGATGCACATTAGGATGAGATCCACCGAGACACATCGGATTAATACATGTATCAAGCGTGATTCATTGGTGGGTTTGAGATAAAAGGTGATCAAG